GACCCGGATGGTGTAGTGGTGAAGTGCGCTGCTCCCCGGTAAGGACAACAGCGCGTGTTCGTTCCCCATTGCATGCACCTGTGGTCCGGAGTTTTGCAAATATTTCAGCATTTCATATCAGTTAAATTAGTTACAAAACTGAAACTCTCATAGAAACCTCAAAGTTGCCGTGCTGATCATGATGCCAAGCATGACGCTGAAAATAATTAAGATAGAAGAAACGTCGGAATCGAATAAAACTTGGGACTGCGAGTTCGTTTCAGTGTATGTAACTCGTGAAAGAAGATATTGTGGTTCATGCGTGTAAAATAGCACGTAGTGTTATTTTGGTACCATGGCCGCATTTTGATCAAAAACGGTGAAATCTTGGCAACTAGAAGTTAAATATAATGATAAGTGTACTAATTCCATACATTTTGTCAATTGGGAACATCGGCCGCTACGGAAGCAATTCGCCTAAAAAGGACACGCCTACTGCGCACAGAATACCCATTTGTTTAGGATTTGACAAGAAGCCCATTACCAATGCATCCTAGTTCCGTGCTAACAGCAATGATGGATAGGTAGTAGTCGTGGAACTGTACGATTGGGCGTTCATGGATGTTGAGCTCCGGTGAACAGCAGATTATTCATCCCGACGGTGCCTTCCTGTGAGCTTGCATCACTAGAATAGCCTAGTACGACTCCGATCCCCATTATTCTCTTAGTTCACACGTTGCACACCACATCGTCCAACACGAAAGGCAATTAGATGGTCACATTCCTCTCTAATCCAATCCAAAGAAATTTCATCCACTTAGTGCTGTTTATCACCAACGCTTAACTGTAGATGTTTTATGAGTGAACGAAAGTAGTTCGTAACCAAAGTTTTTAACTATTGTCTATAAATTCCGTTCCGTATGTCGAGCCATGGATAGAAGAAGCAGATAGAAATGAAGAGCTAACGAAAGATTGACAACAGAATTGTGCAGTGGACTTCAACTGGAAGGAAACGTCATCTAGAGGATGGAAACATCCTCTAGCACAACTAATGAGAAGAAGGGTAGGTGTGTTTGTGGATAACGTCGAGCGGTTTAATAGTAGACGCAGATGATTTGTCAACGGTAGAATGATATTCGTAAATGTCGTCGCACTGAAAGCAGACCACCACCAAGGACGGTGGTCGAGATGAAAACTACTGAATAGAAGCGCGCTCTATAAATTGCTCCGTGATTCGTGAGAGCATTGAAATCCAACTATCGATGCATGTAATTTTAAAACTGTTAGATGCTTACCATTTTGGATCACCACCAACCATATTTAATACAAACAAGGCGATACGCTTGTGCAGATCCCAATTCTCTATGGCTTGGGCTACAAACAGGCCACCAACGAAAAGAAAGTTCGTGTCCTTTAAGAATAATTATTAAGTTAAACTGAACACGTTAGTCTTAAAAACTGTTTTTGATGCTCTGAGTTTTTGACAACCCTGTTTTCCTCGCTTTTTTTTATGCTATCTCCATCCACATTTATCATTTCAGAGCAACACAGAGATAGAGATAAATGAGTTTTAGAAACCGGATGGGTTCGTAGCAATCTTAGCTGCTTTGTTTTCAAATAAGTTTATAAACGAATCGTACGTTGATAAACTGCTGAGCGACTGCCTTGCATGTCATTACTCCTGTCAACGGATAGAGAACAACAGGGAACATGGCAGTGGCAGGCAATGGTAATACTTCCGTCACCCAATACACGCCCATTACACCAACACAGAAAGCGCATCGCAGTTCCTTGAAAGGATAAGAAAATTTATGGGAAACAATAAACATTTCGTGCAATTGAGAGGTTTGGCAATGAGATTGCGAATGGCACCAAGCCTTGCCATTGCGTTTGTGTTAAAGGTGCTCGATAACTATCGACCATGTATTACTCTGTGCGGCGGCTATCCACCAACTAACTTAAATACTTACAACAAATAAACGGCTCTGAAGAAGGCGAAACCGCCGAAACGTCAGCAATTGTGTTCTAATAAATTCTATATTAACAACCTCGTGTCTGCTTATTGATGAAAAACATTGAATTATCAATTAATGCCGAGGTTAACAGAAAGTCGGTCATGGGAAAAACACGATTTGTTTACTTTTGTGTGCCACTAGCTACTGTACTAAACTTTCTTCTGTATCGCTTATGGTAACCATTTATATATGTGTGATTCGTGCAGCCGTCCGCAAAACGTCTCTTTCTTTACAGCGTTCCACTGTAGTACGCACCGCCCGCTTAGTGTACATAACGACCAAGTGCGTGGGCCTTTCTTGGAACTGTACAATGCCCTGTTGAGGAATTGACAAGGTACGTTCTCAGTTACACTGCTTTAGTGCATAGAAGAGATTCACAAACGAGTAGAATAGGACACAATTTAGTAGTTAGAGATGTCCTGTTCAATACACATTATCCTTGGCTCAAGCTCAAGTAGCTTACTTAGCTCGCCAGTAACAGCATTAGGCCGGGATTGGCATATTGGTGGAATACCTGATTAAGAGAATAAAACTTCGAACACTAACATGATACGTAGATAGTCACCGCAATTAACGTATCAGCCAAATCTGCTTCTAATCACCTTTACGATGCTACGAACGGAGTCGAATGTCTCAAAGCCATATTTTATTCTCTTGTTATAAAGAATTTAATTTGACTATTATTTTGGGCAAAAAAATCGATAAGCAGTTCCATCGACTTTTAGGCCCATTAGTTTCTACTTAAGGTGTGTAGTCGTCGAAGGCGCCCTGCAACAGACACGTGGAATCGTTCCCTGCGCCCATGGCGCACCAAGCTTTCCATCCCTCTGAGATCGGTAAATTGGTTCCAGACTTCTCTGCGAGGATAGCAGGCAGCACAGGGCGGATACATTGGTAGGCCAACGCAGATCATTGTAAATGCCAGATGTGCATTCGATCACCTCCAAATGACGCTTAATGAAGTCGAATGAATGGTGCATCCCTTAAGGATTCGTCAACCGTGAGAGCTTTACTTAATTTATTTATTTATTTACACAGTAGTGGCAGTATCAGTACGAATCGACTTTAGTTCACTCATGTACCATTCCATTACAATGCGGAAATTGCTCAGCTGAAATGCGTGTTTGCGTGTAATTTCTAGGTTGGGGAAAACAGAAAAAGAATTATTTCGTTTCCAATAACATACCCGAAGGGCAAATCAATAAATAAAATAAAAAAGTCGGTTGCACCGTTTTTTAACTAACCTTTCTTTTTGAAAACACTAAAGGACTAAAGATAAGTGGTGTTAACAGTAGTATCAATGCACTTTTCCACATCTTGAACAAGCGTAGTAAAATTTCGAGCTTTGTGAGCTGAAACATCAATGTGCTAGTAGAGTCGCTTAAAAAATAAAGAAAAGAAAGGCTATTACAGAAAAAATGGGCAAGAATGTAAAAATCGTTATTAAAAAATAATGGACAAATCTTTCGGCGTTGATCAATCCCTGAGAGATGCGCCATGCATTCGACTTCATTAAGTAACATTGGAGGTGACTGAATGCATCTCTGCCTTTTACAATGACTTACGGTGGCCTAGCTATGTAGCGAGCCAGTGCTGCTATTCTCCCAGACAAGTATGTTACCAGTTTGCCGACCACGGAGGGATGAAAGGCTTGGTGTTGGGATCAATTCCACATGTGTGTCGCAGTGGCGCCTCCAACCGAGACGCCACGCGCGCCCCTATGAAAATCTTTATTAAGTAGGGAAAATCATGCAAACAATGGCTCATGAAGGGCAATAGGTGAATGGCGATTTTCTTTATTCCTTCATAATGTTGTATAATTAAAGAGAGTCCTCTATAGTGTTGGCTTTCTTCCAATCCAGAATGAGAATGAAAGATGGCTCATTGAAAACTCGCTTTGTAAAGTAAAGAAGTTATTATCGGATGGCTTTCGAATTACTCTGACTACATCTCACATCTACATGGAGCGCCCAATGAGCACTGAGGAAAAAGAAATGCGCGGATGCATAAAGAATTAGAGGACCATGTGTGAAACTCTAGTTTACGCGACAACCAATTTAAGGCATTTCCTAGGTGCCTTTAGAAGCACCAAAATTTTCATAGGAGTCTCCAAAAGTTATTATACGCAAGAAGTACAACAATTAAGCAAAATTCTTCAGAAACAAACAGAGTTGATCCTAGCAGTTGCAATAAAGGCTCGTCATCTATTACGGTTGGGTTAATCCAATTGGTGTACTGTAAAAATCTTTGAAAATATATATTAACGATTTCTGTTTTAGGAATAAGACAACCAATCCATTCAGGAATCCAGCAAGTTTCCTTATTCAGAAAAGTATGAATATAAACTGAGGTGGTTGTTAATTGGACAAGGATAGTAAGTGATAGATTGAAGAATGCATTTCTATACTAGTAGTCATCGTTCAACAGCTACTAGCAAGTAAACCGAACGAATGAAGATTTTTCTGGAAGTCGTCATAATATGTGGTGCGGTAGGGTTTAAGTGTGCAAATTGTAAGCTGAAAAATAAAGCTGCAGTGAGGCTAATTCTAAGTGCCGTTTTTGGCAAGAGGCAAGCACGAGCAATGAACCCAGAGTGTTTGCTCCGTGAAACATTGCAAAGAGCATTTGTAGATTAGTTTTCTAGAGTGGGTGTTTGATCCTAAGGTTCTATGAACAAAGTTCGCTTAATCATGGCCAGCGTCTAAGGTTTGCTTCCTACTACCCGTTAACTTCAATTCGCAATGAACGAAGGTTTCGTCACATACTTTACATCTCACCTCTTCATTAGCATAACCTGTATAGTGATCTCCATTGAAGGATGGTTGTGTTTTGTCACTTTTCTCTTCAATTCCAGGTATAACGAAGCCTTCTGCTTCATTGGAAGTTCTTTTATCGGTGCTTTCTTTGGAGGTAACGAGAGACATAATGCTAAAATGAGAACACTTATTAAATTAGTACACTTCAGAACTTTTTAAAAAAATGAAGGGAAATCTAAACTGTTACTCTGATATCTTAATAAGGATCAATAACAGTTTTTTTTATGATCTTAACCCTTTTATTTACTGCCTTTTTCTTTTTAATGGCAGGGTATGTTGCGAAATATAACTCGTGTATAATGATGAGATATTTGCAGAACACCGGACCGCAGGTGTATGCGGTGGGGAACGAACGCGCGCTATTGTCCTTTCCGGGGAGTAGCGCACTTCACCACCACACCATCCGGGTCCTTCGTTTTGCCTATCTCTCAGCTAGTTCTATTGATCTTTTGCCAACAGCAATCACCCGTCAACGGGATTGACAGGCAAAATGAAGGACCCGGATGGTGTGGTGGTGAAGTGCGCTACTCCCCGGAAAGGACAATAGCGCGCGTTCGTTTCCCACCGCATACACCTGCTGTCCGGAGTTTTGTAAATATCTCAGCATTATACACGAGTTTTTTGTGGTTTTCTAATGGCAGAACCAGGAAGGATAAATGTGTCTCGTCTTTCTTTCAAAACCGACAACTGGAAGAACTATTATCCCATTGACTCTGAGAGAGCGCTATAAGCGACAGTTTTAAAATGACTAAGCAACTATTCAAATGTCATCTTCGCACAATCCTCCATTGGCAGCAGTTCGCATGCCGACTTTCACTTTTAACTACCAAAAACGTCTGGAGATGGAACAGTGAGACAACGAGGAATACCGGCGCTGTCAATAACATAAGTGAATAAAGAAACGAGGGTCTATCCCACTTCTAAAACCGAGGAGGTAATCTGAATCTAACAATGTAAGAGAGGAAATTCTCTCGGCTTTGTTCTCGATGAATGGAGCATTCAATAATAAGAATCGATCGTCTTTTATTAGTAGTAAATGGAACTTAAGGCACCATTTGTTCTTCTGTTCCAGGTTCTAGTTTCTGTCTCCGGCAGAAGGAGACGAAATGGGAATTTCCACTGCTCTGAAAGCCTGTTTTTGCGATGGATTGTATTGGTCCACATCGAAGCTTGGTTAGACGAAGATAAAGGTGAAAAGTTCAAAATATAGAGGCTTTTACATGGACTCTCCAATACTTTCTCAAAAACTTTTCCATGTGGTAGATTTTGAGTACATGAAGAGCGCCGCCACAAGCGTTACCTTAAAGCGGTCCGACGAGTGGAATTCTATCTAGGAAGGACTCACACAGAATATTAGGCAAACAACCATCAAGACGATGTCACAGTAATTTATTGGTGGAAGAATGTTTAGGCTTTTTTAAACGGAGTCACTTATGCAAAGATGGTTGAGTAATCAGCTTCGTTTTCAATTTAAGAGCGAAGTATAATGCGGATAGAGGTCTTCTTGGCAGAAGCTTTGCATTGCATCTACAGTACACGGGTTCCCAGTTATCGCATGAGGAAAATGAATACGCTGTCAAAGCATCGCCCTAGCAGAAGAAGTTAGATCATAAGGAGCACTTACTGAGGCTGGACGCTGATGGGGTTAATGCGACCTGTCCACTCACGGAATGAGACTGATGCAAAATGAAAATGAGTTTTATGGTTCGATAAATCGGTGCAGTCTGTTTTGAATGAGTACTTATACAAATCTAAAGCTGATAGTTGATTATACTTTGCGTAGTGCTTTATCTATCATTACCTCTTTTATCCGAGTCTTTTACTTCTATGAATTGCTCGGTGCCTGATTTTACTCTGCAACTTGCAAATAAACGTTTTAGCGAATTGGAAATTTCAAAAGCTCATCAACACCAAATGTTCGGAAACTAAGGAAATCTTTATTCGTTCACACTTTCCTGCTTAATTATTTATTCCTTTACTTTTTGTATGCTGTAATTTTCTTCAAAAAGATGAAGAAAAAGTTCCCAAGCTGTATTTTCAGAGGTATTCGGCAGCGGTCGTGGATTGTTCCCTCTGCGGAAGGATTGTCCTCAAGTCAGGAACTCTGGTTGATGCCTACATTTATTCATTTATTTTATTTCATTTGACCTGTGTTTACGTCTACTGTGTGGTTCCCAGCACTTCATACCTCCAATTCGTTTCCTTTCGTCCATTGTCCACGAAGACCCTCCAATTTTACGTGCGTCTTCGCTAGCTGAGGATTTTCATTTCACCTTGAATCTCGTAGAACGCTGGTCGAGAAGTTCTCCCTGGAATCCTGAGTTATGCGAGCTGGAGCATTCCCAATTGGATTTCAAAGAGTGTTTTTTCTTGAACAAGTCCGGTACCAAGTTCCCGAACTTGGAGTGGTGAGAGGCTTAGTTGGCTCAGTGCGGAATCGAACTAGCACCGCGCTCGCGACGAAAGGCATCACCACCACTGTCCTCTCCGTTCCTTATGTCTATATTGCAGTAATTATTTCCATACTGCTGTTTTACTTCGAGTAGTAAAATGAAGTTAATAGGCTCTCCATTCACA